TTTGATAATGAAAAATATTACAAGAACTAATGGGCAGTTTGTTTTCCTTAAAATGTTAAAAATTATTATAATATTTTAGAACTAAAAGGTCTCTTGAGACCTCATAATGCGCTAGCATAATTTTATATTTAGCAAATGTGTTTTGGGTTTCCAATACATTTGAATGAATAAAATTGAACTGTATTTTACAGTTTTCTTTGATAGTTGAATATCTTTAAAGAAAACATTTGCCACAATATAAGGTTTAAAATGTAGGGGAAGAGAACCTTTTCACTAGCAGAATTTTGTTTACTTAGCAATTATGTAGGGTTTTAGGACTTTCTGGTATCTTTTTATAACTTCTTTTTTGGGTATTAATTTAAACCTTGGCAGAACTCCAAAAACATCATGGTGGTTAGTAGAAAGTAGGACAATATTGTGTTTCTGTTACTTGTGTTTTCTGTAGTGCTAGGAATTAGGCCAAGTTAGGATTTTGAAAACAGTAAAACTTAATAATCTATGAATGTAGAACAAATTGTAAGGGAATAATATCTTTATCTCTTTATTTTCTCCCAGCATCTTCTACTTGACTAAACTTTGATTGTACTTTTTTTTAAGGATTTTTATTTCTGTATTTCAGATTGTCTGACATTTATTCCATAAAACCCCTTTCCACTGCATAGGTCACTTTCTGTGCTTAATTTCCATGGTGTCATTATCATGGTCTCTAGTATGAGACATTGCCACATCTGGATTATCTGTGAAGTGAAATTAATTATTCTGTCATTTCTTCATTTAATGTGTAGGCATAGAATTTTTGCAGAAAGTTGTCACCCTTGATCCCTGTCTCATGGAACACATTTAAGTTTTATTGGTTTTTCAAAGTAATGAAAGTTAGTACACCACTTGAAATGTGGGAATTATACAGACCACACTTCACAGGATTGGTTTTCATTTTCAATGTTGTAAATGGCAGTGGTTCTCTTGTGTGTTTATGTGTCTAAGAACTTCCGTGTGAATGTGGACAACCTTAGGTTCATAGGTTTTGAGTTGTCTGTTGTCCTTCAGGTAATTTAGAAATACCTTAGATTTCTTCTATAGCTTATATTTGTTTAGCCTTTTAGAGATTATAAAGTAGTTTTCATTTTATAACTTATTTATCTTCCAAGTCTCATAGTAAGGCACAGGGACTTATTACCATTTCATTAGGGGGAGACTGAAGATATTAAGTAACTGCCTACCATTTCCTAAGTATTCAGTGAGGACTAAATTTTGGGTGCCTTCCCTACTGCAGTATCCTAGTTTAGATGTCTTGATTCACCTTTAATTATATCACTTCCTCTTTTCATTTGATTTCATTAAAATTATTAGATTGTAATAGCAAATATGAAGCTATTTCTTGACATCTCAATGTTATTTTACTGTTTTATTGTCTTTTTTGTAGTATGTATTATATTAATTTCAGTAACTGATTTCAGTTTTTCATCCAACTGTTTGAATTTATAGAACATTGTTTTATTTTGGCCTAATTTGCTGTGTTTTCAACAAATAAATTTGTTTCATATTAAAAATATCTTTTTGCTGGGTACCAGTATTTTACAATTGTATTCTAACCACTTAGGAAGCTGAGATCTGAGGATTAAGGTTCAGCCTGGGCAGAAAAAGTACGTAAGACTTTTATCAGCAATTAACCACCAAAAAAGCTGTGGCTCAAGTGGTAGAGTAATATCCTTGAGAGAAAAAGCTGAGGGACAGCGCCCAAATCCTGAGTTCAAGCTCCTGTACTGGCACACAAGAACACCTCCCTCCCCCGGGCAACAAACACACACATTTCTTGTTGCCTTTACAAACCAATTTTTCATCAAGCATTTAATAGACATAAAGTCTGTAGAGGGAAAGAGCACACAAAAAGAGGTGTTAATGTTTTATCTTAGGAAAGTACAGAAGATAAACTGTGAGTTGGCTAAGAATACCTTCTGGGTTAGGGGCAGGTGACTCACCCCTATAGACCTAGCTATTCAGAAGTCTGAGACCTGAGGATTAAGGAGGTTCCAGGCCAGCTGAGCAGATTCTAGAGACTCTTATCTCCAATTACCCAGCACAAAACCAGACCCAAGTGATAGCGAGAAACCCTGAGATCAAGTCTCAATGCCAGCAAACACATATACACATTCTCTCTCTCTCTCCTCTCTCTTTCTCTATTTCTTTCCCTCCTCCCCCCCTCTGTCTGTGTCTCCCCCACTTTGAATTTACTGGCAGCAGAAGTGCTTCAGATTTTAAATTGTTTTGAACTGTGTAGTATTGTCATAGAGTTTTATAAATGATTATCCCTAATTCAATATGCTTCAAAATCCATTTTGCTTGGGGCAATGACAAGATGCTCAAAATGTTTTGGAATTTTTATTTTTATTTATTTATGTATTTTTGGGTCCAGTCGTGGGTCCTGAACTCTGGGCCTAGGCGCTGTCCCTCAGCTCTTCAGCTCAAGGCTAGCACGCTACCACTAGAGCCATAGCACCACTTACAGCTTTTTTTTTTCTTCTGCTTATGTGGTACTGAGGAATTGAACCCAGGGCCTCATGTATGCAAGGCAAGCGCTCTACCACTGAGCCACCTTCTCAGCCCTGTTTTGGAATTTTTAAATGTTCAGATTTTGGATTTTTGGGTGAGGGATACGTAACTGAACAACCAGAGAACTATTTGAAGGGAATTGTTAAATGTAAGGTATGTGCATATGCGTGTCATGTATGCATGGAATAGCAGTGATGGATGTCACTGGATTAATGAAATTTTTTGAGGATATGTAGGTTTATGGTTATGTTTGAGAATGTTGTATCTACGATATTTTGGGGAATGCAAGCATAGCCCCCAAAAAGTGATTAAATAAAATTGGTGAAAAAGGTGGAGATGACATTTGATAACATGCACTTTGCAACATGCCTCCTCCTTTGTTGTTCCCCTACCATCCCTTCCCTCCCACCTCCACAACTACTCCCTCCCCCTTCCTCCCTTCCCCTCCAAAGTTGTAAAGTTCCTTTTCAACATAGTGTCTTGTATATCTCATTGTTCTAGTGGGTCAACCTGTATCCCTATTTAAGCATTTTGGTTTTTTTTTTCTTCTCCTCCCCGAATTAGAGAAGTGTATATACAGGATACAGGGCATTGACATCAAATACAGTGAAAATAGGGGTTATATTGTGGGGGAGGAACATACAAAAAAACAAAAAATCACATGGTACATTACAAATACGTTAGAAACAATAGCAAGAAAGAAAAAAACTGTGTCCCTATCTTGGTGTTCATTTTGCTTAACATCATCTTATATGGTCATATGTACATAGCTTTTGACCTTTTCTGCTTGTCCTAGACATGTACCAGTTGTTGCAAATAAGGGAAACCATGGGATCTATGTTTTTTGGGGGCCTAGCTTACTTCACTTAATATAATTTTTCCAGGTCTTTTCATTTCCAAACAAATGGGGAAATGTCATTCTTTCTTATGGAGGCATAGAATTCCATTGTGTATATATACCACATTTTCTTGATCCATTCATCTACTGAGGGGCATCTGGGTTGGTTCTATATCTTAGCTATGGTAAATAATGCTGCCATAAGCATAGTTGTTCTGGTAGCTTTATTATGGTCTTGTTTGTGATCATTTGGGTAAATGCCCAAAAGTAGGATTGCTCAGTCATAGAGGAGCTCTATGTGGAGTCTTTTGAGGAACCTTCATACTGCTTTCCAGAGTGGTTGAACAAGTTTACATTCCCACCAACAATTTACAGTAGGGTTAAGGGACTTTGCTTTAGAGACAGGAAGAGGCAGGTTATTGGAAGGTAAGGTTTAGATTTGATGAAAGAAAGAACTACTGTTAATTCTTTGAGTAATCAATTAGCAGATATTTATTTCCCACAACCTGTAAAAATCAAAGTCTTTATTGGACCAGGTATTGAAGAGTACAAAATTTCAGTAAAAAATAGTAGATTCTGCAGAGCATGAATTAATTTATGATGCAGGCTAGGAGGTAGTTGTTATTACTCAAGTTAGTGATGAGCTAAGAGTGTTACTTCTAGTAATAATTTTGGAAATGTGGCTTCCAGCGGAATAATAGACAGCATTACTAAAACAATACATAGGAGGAATGAATACATGAAGATCTTTTTACATACCAGATTGTGACAGGACAACTTAACCTTTTTGTAGAAGCCCCCCCCCCTCATTTTATGGAAGGTACCTGCCTTATATAATACCAAGTCAAGAGATACTCTCTACTAATCATCTAAGATAAATACTGTTGAGCGTTTACTATGCTCCAGTCATTGTACCACGTTCTCCAGTCATTGTACCACGTTCTTTACTTCATTTAATCTTTAGATCAACCTTGAAAGTTTGGGTCTCAGAGAGAATAAGTAACTAGTCCAAGTTTACAGAACTCACTGGTCCTAAGTCAGTGTTTGAACTCAGTTCTATTAATTCTGAGGTTCATGTTATTATTAATTTACTTCTAAAAGAATCTTTTTTTTTTTTGTTGGTCATGTGGCTTGAACTTGGCCTGGGGTGCTGTCCCTCAGCTCTTCAGGTCAAGGCAAGAGCACTACCACTTGACCTACAGTGCCGCTTCTGGTTTTCTGGTGGTTTATTGGAGATAGGAGTCTCAGGGTCTTTCCTGCATGGGCTGGCTTTGAACCACGATCCTCAGATCTCAGCCTCCTGAGTAGCTAGGATTACAGGCATGAGCCACTGGTGCCCAGCTTAAAACACAATCTTCTGTCTCTCAGATTCTCAAAAATATACATGTGTCTTCTTAAAATCTTAAAATGTGTGGTTCAATATTAAATATCTCTCATATTTATACTGAAACTTTAAAAGGTGAGTGTTTAATGCTTAGATAAGAGATGGCAAAATAATTACCAGACTTTATAAAGGAGATGAATCAAATTTGCCAGGAAAAGTTAAAACAATGTGATAATTATAGCAGAGCTGGAAAGCATGATGCTGATTATTACTGTTATTTCTTATTAGTCAGGATTCGAATGAAGATGTTGAAGAAGCTGGTGCACTGCAGAAAAATCATTCCTCTGTGGCATCTGCAAACTTCACAGAAGCTGTATCTTCTCTCTGTCAGCCTACTGAAGATGACTCATTAAATGCTGCAGGCTGTGGAGTGGCTCTAGAATCAACCCCAAGCAGTGACCCAGAGAGTGCCCAAGAAGTAAATGATGCTCAAGTGGCAGGGGAGAAAGAAAACCATAGTGATGATAAAACTTCCCCAGAGGAAACAAGTGAAAATGTCCCTATAGTGGAGGATATCGCAGAGCAACCAAAGAAAAACAGAATTACTTATTCTCAAATTATTAAAGAAGGCAGGAGATTTAATATTGATTTGGTATCAAAGGTATGTATTGATTTTACCCGTTTTATACACAGCCATGTATAAAGATAGCCTTTTTAGCTGTTCTTGGGCTAGGTTCATTTATTTTAAAAAATATAAAAAATATATAACATTATACTGCTTAGACTAATCAAGAAAAGTCAAAGATGAAATTCTCCAAGCTAAAATGAATTTCTAAGCAAATCTATACCTTTAATAATTATGGGACTAACATGTTAAGAAAAACAAAACTTGTTAATTATTAAAGTTCAGTCCTATTATTTAATCAAACTAAAATGATTTTTAGGGTCTTACTACTGGGAAATTGCTATGACATATCACTTAGACCAAAAAGAGGGTGATGAGAAAGAGGCTTAGATTTATTTATTTTTTTTTTTTTTTTTATTTGTGAACATACTGTACAGAGGGGTTACAATTACATGGGCAGGATAATGTGTGCATTTCTTACCAAGCATTGCAGCCTCCTCCTTTG